ATTATAATATCAATTTCATGTAATAATATTATGAGGTGAAAACATTTTAAGAATTTCAGACTTTAATGCCAAAAAATGGCATTTTAATCCATGAAACTTACGAAAATTAGTATATGCACCTAAGCCCCATCATGGTTGAGGCTAAGATGAGAAAATTTAGGAATTGGGGGTCTCTAGTTACCGGAAAATGGCACTTTTATATTTATGTCAGTACTTTAATACTTGCCAATTACTTTTCATAAATGACTAGTCTAAACTATCGAAGGCTTTTTCAAATCAATTAGTAAAAGAAGACCTTCAATACTTTGTTGTTCACTGGGAAAAAGCAAATCATTTAAACGAGTGTTTTCCCCAGTTCGACTGTTAATAAGAAAACCTGTGTGTTACTAATAATATTTGGTTAAACTATTTCATTCGTTCTGCTATACACGCCGACGCTATTTTGTTCTACGCCAAGTGGAATGGGACGCCAATTTTTAAAATAAAGACGCGATTTTCCTGGCTTTGGGATACAAGTTATCAAATTTCCCTCCTTTGAGAGACTGAGACATTTTGCCATAATTTTTACAATAGTTAAAGGAATTGGTCATATGGTTACTAATTCTGTCCAGAAGAATTTATAAAATTCCACCGTAAACCATCTATTTTCAGGACAATTGTTATGAGACATTTCTTTTAACTTGTTTTAGGCACTCATGCTGTAATTTCACATTCACATAGGCCTAATTTTTGTTCTTCGACAAGTTTCCGGGTTGGTCAGCAGAGTTACGATACGATACGATTTATTGGTACCTGTACTCTGAAACTGAGGAACACTCTCGCGCAGGAGAGTTTCGACCCAGATAATACAATATAAAAACGATATAAAACAATATAAATCAAAATACAAAGTTAATATTGAGTGTAAAGCAAAAATGTTTACATTAAAAATTAAATGGGGGTGGTAATTTCTTTCATTAATTTCTGTCTATGAGCAATGGCCTTGGATAAAAAAAATTATTTACAATGTTTATCAAAAATCATACAAATTTCTTCATTTTTATACATATTATAAATATTGTCTAGAAGTAGATGGTGTTTAAATTCCTGTGAACCTTTCACAAAAACATTCATTAATATTACATAAATCATTTTTTTAGGTTGCTAAAGCATATATTTCTTATGGTGGATACGCTTTCACAATCAAAGAGGAGATGATCGACTGATTGTATTTTCTTACTTTTTCGGATAACACAATAGCCAGAGTAATTATCTGACCACGACCATTTTCTGCCTTCAAGATCCAAAGCATTTGTTCTTGCTTTGAATTTTAGATTTATACCTTGCAAATTTACTTTATCCAAAAGATATTATTCCATAATAGGTGCATTTTTGTACTTTAAATAATCAGTTAATGATTTTTTTTATTTGCATTTTTAAGCTATTCTTTATCATTCTCATCTAGGATCTTTTCATTACAAGAATTTAACCATGTAGATGTGGTTCCAGGTTAAATTTTTCATTTAAATCATATTTATCTATAGGCCTAATTGTTTTTACATTGTCGATGATCCACTTGCATCTTGTAGTACTGTAGATCTAACCTCCATAAGTGCTTCACACAACAACCCGGGCCATCTATCATCCTTCATTGTCTTAAGCCTATTAAAATATTTTATTCTATTGGTATGTTTTGTATTGTTTCAATGGAATCCCATCCCAAACCACCAAGTATGTAATGCTTCATTGGCTACATTTCTGGGTGCTTTTAAAATTACTTTGGCCATTTGATATTGTAGAATTTCTAATTTATTAACTGATTTTTTATTACCTAGAATCATAATAAACCATAATAAACCCTATTTATGTCATCTTGACCATCACTAATTGACCTAATATATTAATATGCTACCATTTTGTTACCCTTTTAGATAACGTCTTCGATGTGATCATTATAATTTTTTTTTGTTTTTGTTTTTGTTTTTTATATGGTACGGTAGTTCCTAGATACTTATATTTGTCTATTAGTTTTCGCCGCACGTCGACGTTTACCTTAACTTTAACGTTAGTACCCAACATGCAGCGCGACAGCTGCTCCGCCCCTTTTGTAAAAAAATCGAAATACGCATGCGCAAACCCGTAACTAACGCACGTCGAGCACGTAAAATTTTGAAATTAACGTACTCCGCAACGCAAGATGAATACATTATGACGTCGTCCGTTAACCTTAGTGCGGCGAAAACAGCCTATTTATAAAATTCTCACCTAGCCTCCATTTTTTAAGTTTGTTTACTCAAATCAAAACATTTGAGTTTTCTAGATTAAATTTAAGTTTCCAAAGATTCGAAAATTGTTTTTTTGATGATGTTATAATAAAGTCAGGCTCACATGCCAGACTTCTGTTTGCCGACTTTGCGTCTGCTTTTAATACCATGCAGCCAAAAGTTCTTGTAGAGAAACTGGAAACAAAATTTAAATTACAAAATGATTTAATTATGTTTATTTATGATTTTTTAACAAACAGACGTCAACGAGTTTTAGTTAACAACAAATATTCTGAATGGTATGTCACAAATACGGGCTCACCTCAGGGCTGTGTCTTATCGCCTTTACTTTATATTTTATATACTGATGACTTCCGTAGCATGCACGAGAATAATTTCATTATAAAGTTTGCAGACGACTCTGTTCTACTTACCCTTTTAACAGATGGAGCCAACAGTCATGGCCCTGTTCTGGATAGTTTTATTAAATTCTGTAATGACGCCCATTTAAAGTTGAACGCTTCAAAAACAAAGGAATTGATAATTGATTTCCGGAAGAAAAGACACAGCCCTGAGGTCACTATTTTAAATGACGAACCAGTTGAGATTGTTACGTCTTATAAGTACCTTGGGACTATATTTGAGGACAATCTCAGCTGGGGATTGAATACTGAAGCTATAATTAAAAAAGGAAATCAACGTTTGTACATCCTTAGGAAACTAAATGATTTTGAAGTAAATAACTCTATTCTTAAAGTGTTTTATAGTTCATTTATCGAAAGCGTTTTAACTTTTTCATTTATATGTTGGTTTAATAATCTTACCCTTAAGGAGAGGAGGGTGATGACAATATATGTATAATAATAATAATAATAATAATAATAATAAAATAATACTATATAACGATAGCTTTTTACATATATTTTTATAGTTATGATTCTGGTTGGTCTCTTTTGTACGTTTTTTTGGTGATTTATATTTATACACTTACTATTTATTTAGTTTTATATATATTATTGTTGTTCGATGTTTATAAATGATTTTAACTTATTGAGTATTTCAGTTTTAAAATTCATGAGGGATAAATAAAGAATTATTATTGAATTGAATTATTAAATTCATTCATATATATAGAAAATAAGATAAGTAAATGTGGACATCTTTGTTTTACTCCTTCATCTATATCAAAAACATCTGATTCAATGCATTTAAACATCTGTAATAGCATTACATTTGACATATAATTCTGAATAATATTAAGAAGTTTTCCCTTCATTCGAACATTCTGAATAGCCTGGCCTCCTCTACATACAGAATCAAAAGCCTTCTTAAAGTCTAAGTAGGCAAGATGTGTTTTCTTGCATCTTGTCGTATACTTTTTAAAAATAAATATGTGGTCTGCACATATTCGATTAACTCTAAATCCTCCTTAGACTTCAGTTAGAATATTCACTCCTCCAAAAATGTAGATACATTTAGAGCAATAATTTTAGTATACATTTTTGCCACACAGGAATTGGTGATCTCTATAATCATTTAGGTACGTCTATCTCCTGTTTTAGTACAATGGAATTATAGACCCTTGGCATTCCATTGGACCGGAACAGATTCAATTTCAATCAGTCTATAGAATAACTTAAATAGTGATGATGGTCATACCATCTCCAAAATGTTTAATAATTTCATTTGTAATTGAACCTGCTCCTGGACTCTTATTATTTTTAGATTCAGAAATAACAAAACTGACATCTTTGTATAATAAATTTACTCTTGTGAATTTCCTTTAGTATTAATTGGCATAAAAGAATTAGTTCATTGACAGTCCAATATTGCTAAAGCGGTTTTAAGTGCATTCCATCTTTTGTAAGCATTGGGTCTGAAGCTACAGTATTGGTTCCTGTGATGATTATGATATCCATTTTCTAGGTTGTTGTTTTCCTTTTAACTCAACCCAAAAATCTTTCAGTTTGCGTCATTATTATTATTATTATTATCATCATCATCATCGTCATCGTCATCATCATCATCATCATTATTATTATTAGTATTATTATTATTATTATTATTATTAATAATTTTATTATTATTATTATTATATTATTATTATTATTATTATCATTATCATTATTATTTATTATTATTATTATTATTATTGTTATTGTTATTTGTTGTTGTTGTCACATTATCATTATTATTATTATTATTATTGTTATTGTTATTTGTTGTTGTCACATTATCATTATTATTATTATTATCATCATCATAATTATTATTGTTTATGGCCTTTGTCACTGCTGTACACTACCTTGCTGTAGGCCTGTGTGTAGTATAAGTTGCAAGTGATAATAAATAAATGATTTAAATTATTAATAACAATATTGAAATTCTATTTGGTGTAAAGTAATAGAATTTCAATATTTCAGTATTGTTATCATTAAAATAAATGATAAAAAAAAAGAAGCTCCCTGGCGGGGAATTGAACCCCGGTCTTCCGCGTGACAGGCGGAGATACTCACCACTATACTACCAAGGACAAGCTACTCCTTATGCGGAATTTTAAAGTCTATAATAATTTTTTTCATTGTATCTAAGGTCAACATACGCGTGGTTTATTTTAAAATAATTTAATGTTACTAAATTTCAGATTTGCTTCAATACACTAAGTTATCAAGCAGTTCTAGAATAGTAGGTGTTGTTTCTGGCAGAGACAACACCTAAAACAATCTATTTTTATCAGCAGCTGGTGCTGCTACGTTTATTACGTCATATCCGTGCTTTCGCTATGACATCATATTTTGATGCAACATCTTGGTTTCAGAGTATATGATAGTCTCACACCTTTGTAACTATTTTGCGCATTCTTTTTGACGAACCGCTAATTTTTCAGGTAGGACTTGTAGCAAAAGTAACTAAGAAATAGTGTAAGAGTACCATTTACGTGCATTAACCATAATCTGATGAAAATGACCTATGAAAAAACACAAGGGATTGTGTGAAATATCCCAGAATTCTGATGCTGGTGCCCCGCACTATGAATAATTATTGTCGGAAGCAAAATCTGAATGTATACGATCTATGGAGTTATGAGAATATATTACATGTATTCATGGTTCGCCGCTTTTTTGCTGAGCTCCTATCCCAAAGCATGGTGGGCCTACCCATGAATCATTAAAGGAATTCTACCCAGAATTACTCAAAAAATAAGTAGGGATCCTCAATGTAAAGCAATGCAGAGAATCTGATACAATTTCCGCAATTTAAACAGTTTTATCTGTGGCATTTAAGTAATTAACTAATGTAAATTTAAACTGTTTCATTGAACATGTTTCATCATTTTGAGACCAGAAAACAAAATGGAGTCGAATCAAACTCATTTTGGCCTAAGCCTATCATAAACATTCTTGTCAACATCTGTCTGCTCACTGTCGACTCTCACTCACCATGTCCCCCCTACAAAGGAGCCTAGCCATATGCCTATCCAGCTGGACTCCACTCGACCTAGGCTAGGGCAGGCCCAGTCTACTATGCCTAGGCCTACATGGTTTAGCTAGCTAAGAGGCCTAGGCTAGCCTACGTACTGCTTGGCTATACTTCTGTCGTGGTAGCCATTTTGACAACATATCAACCTGCCCGACGACGGAGAGTCCGATGTCGGCGACGAGAGTGAAGTGGGCGTGTTCGGGCGTCACTTAAAAAAGAAGTGGTCCAGCGTGGTGGGAGGAGGGGGGTTGGTCAACCCCCTTAGTTTACCGTGAAAACAAATTAATGGTCACTCGTCTTGTGTGTTTGCTTCTCGTGTACTCTAGTAAAACATTTACATACACTTTCTTTTTTGAGTTTACTTCTTTTCAGATGCAATATCTAAGATCGTTTTTAATACTGATAGGAGGTCTGCTAATTAAAAAAAAATCTCAAATAGGAGGGGATTTCCCTCTTAAAAACACCTTCTTCTCTCCTCCCCCTTTTTTTTCTCCTTCTCACCTCCCATTATTCACCCCTCTCCCCCTCCCCATTACTAAATTCTAGATCTGCCACTGCAGACAGGGAAAGAGCCTACCGAAAACAAACTGTATGACAATTAAAGAGTTTTTTTTTCTCCTTGACGGTTTGGTTTGGTTTTTTTTAGAAATAGAATTAGGAAGCAAGTAACAAAACAAGAAAAAAAAAAATAAAGATAAAATATAAGAAAGGAAAGAAAAGAAATAAAGAAGAAGGAAAAGAAATAACAATTGAAACAGGGAAAAATGAAAGAAAAAAAATAAGGACACATACTGTAAGGAAGAAGAAAAAGAAAGATAAGGGAATGCAAGATTAGATAGATAAAAAGATATGGGAATATAAATCAGAAGGGAAAGAAAAGATAACAAAAATGTATGATAAAACAAGAAGAGAAAAGGAAAGGGATTAGACATGATTAAAATTTAAGAAATAGGAAAAGAAGTTGACATGGACACATGGAAAGAAAAGATAACACAAAGTAAAAGATGATCATAAACCCAATAAAGGAGATACTGTATGGGAATATAAGGCCGAAATTTTAAACAATTATTACAGCACAGTAGTTTATACCCTATCAAAGCTGAAAAAGTGATGAGCTTTTTATTTTTTGTTTTGCTAAATATCACCATCGAGTTGTTGCTGGTGCATTGATATTCAATGTAAAATATTCAGTGGATGCACCAGCGGGGGGTGGGGGCAGTAGGGTCTTAAGTACTCCCACCGGACAGGTCAATCCCAACATAGGACAGAGCTCGTCGGGCAGTAGAACTGAAAAATATAAATAGGCCCAGGCCAAGCCAGCACGTTTGTCACAGTCTAGTGTGTCACTTCTGGCCATCCAGGGGCTGCTATTCTTTAAAAAATCTCATTTGAGAGGGGGAACCCCCTCTCAAACCCTTCCCCAGCTCGGCCCCCTCTGAAAAAAATATATCTTGGAACTGCCACTGAAAATATTACATGATTAAGACTAACTATTTACTGTACTAAAAACAATAATTTTTTTAAAATTTTAATTATTTTTTCAATAGGCATACCATAGAAGACATGCGGGCGAGGGTGATAAAATAATATTTATTTTCTTTTTTGTATTTGGGCCTAAGAAAGAGAGAAAAGATAACAAAAAGGTAAATATGAATACAAAAGGAAAAGGAACTAAAGGAATGTATATTAGAAAAACCAAAAAGATTAAATGACAAGGGACACAAAGAAAGGGACGAAAAGATGAAGAAACAAAAGGAAAGAAAGATAAGGAAACATGAAAAATTGTAAAGAAGGAAAAGGGAACAGAAGCAAGTAAAGAAAAGATGGGAATATAAATAAGGAAAGAAAAGATGGTAAATATAAATAAGAATGAAAAAGGAAAGAAAGATGGAGGAGGATGAAGAATAGAAAGTGAAAAAAATGCAAGGTATAACGAAACATGGAAAGATAAAGAAATCAAAATAAAGAGTAAAAAATGTAAAGAAAGGAAACGGGAATCTCCGGCTTGAGTTGAATTAATAATGTTTTGTTTTAAATGTTGATGTTTAGCAAACCTGCCGACTGCAAATAATGATGATTTTGAATAAAAAGGAAAAATTAATTTTTGGCCAGTTAGTGCACCCGTCGTCACGAGTGGAAATTTCAGAAAAAAATAAAAGTTTTTCTTTATCTTTATTATGCCCTTTTTTATGTATTTCTTCCTAAATATATAAATTTGAAGCATTTAATCATCCTATTTTACATTCACCAATAAAATTTTAATTTTATTTTCTCCTCAATCTGGATGTTTTTGGCAAAACTATTTGCTAAATAAGAAAACAAAATTTTTTTTAAATTTTTATTCTGCCCTCCTCCGATGATCTCTAAAAATAATACATGAAACAAGGAATAAAAAAAACGGGCAACCAACGGGCCTTCAGACCAAAGACCCTTCGGACCAATGGGCCTTCGGACCAAAGACCCTTCGGACCAAAGGTACGCACTCATTTTTTACATACGGTACATTAGAAATTTATATTGTGTTCTAGATCTTCGAGTCCATGATTTATACGCTGTTGAGTTTAAATATCGATTTAATTCTAATCTTGACTTTCGTGTAATGTTCAAAGGATTGAGTAGAAACAGGGCCATGACGTGAATGCTCTTTTCTTAACCCCTGTGAAAAAAAGTTAAAATACCATGTTGTACTCTATCAAGATACCTACAGTATGTTTCGACTAAATTCTTTGCTAAATAAAGATGACCCTGCTATCGACGATGATATAGAATAAGAATATTTCAGTTGTGAAACCATACACTCAGTGACAGTGCCAGCGTCTGAAATCCGGGGTGGGGGGGGATAGTGAGGGGCAAAGTAAAATTTTAGGGGGGAAATATTTTTTCCCATGCATACCTGAGCAATTATAATTTTTAAAAAAACATCAACGGGTAACGTTCTAATGTGCGCTTGTTATTTTATTTTAAAATGCTCGGTATATTTTCTAAAATGTAAAAAGTTAGTTATAACAGACTGATCGGAGCAATTAATTTTGTTGGCCAATCTTACAATTCATTTTTATCGAAAAAATGGAGTGGGGGTGCAAGAACATTATCTGGGAGATTCCTCTTCCCGCATCTTGGAGTGCCGCTACTGCCAACACTAGACACTTTTTCATACGTCACAATTTATAAGTTGTAGTATCCGGCGTTTGATTTAAGACCGCCAGAGATTTTGCTGAAAATTTACAGTGCCATTTCCAGGCACTAAAGCAAAAAGTGCCTTCAACTTGCTACTCGCCTCCAATGATGATGGGCCAAAAGGTGTTTGTGAATTCCCTGTCAAGAACCATCGTTCATCGTTGGCACTTCTGGCTTTACCATGTTTCTAAACAAGAAAGATGAACACTGTCTGTTTCTTCAGACATGATTTTTTTTCTCAAGGTACAGTAGGCCACAGTAGGCCTACATGATACAGTAGGTCTGTCCATACATTGTTGACAAACGTCAACACATACCTAACTAAATATATTCTATTTTCAGCAGGATGGATACAGAAGATGGAGATGTACCAAAGGATCTGGAAGTTGCTACTGGATCTCCAGTGATGAGTATGATACTGCCAGATCCACAGAATGGAGAGGGAGAGCTAACTATACATCAGGATGATGGCACGGTTAGCTCACATATTGCCTATGGCGACTTTATATTCCTGAAATTAGTAACTATTTCTTGTGATGAGTACAGGGCAGCATTCATTCGTTAAAGTCTGAAAAAGACAAAGATTTTAAGAACATTGTCCTTTAATTTACAGTAATGAACTGCAATCACATCATCTTTGGATGAATCAATAATTAACTGTACATATATTTTAGTGCTATGAGGTTAAACAATGTAATTGCCCATAGCTGTATCAGATCATGCATATTCTTAGGATCAGGGTTGTAGCTATGGAAGACAAGGGTGGGTAATATACATTTTAAGGGTGGGTGGCTGATAACATTAGTAAACTTTAAATAATAAGAGTGGATTTTAGGAGAAAAGTGGGTTAATAAGTGTGGGTGTAGGGCCATGAAATTGGCTTTACAACTGGGTGGAAAACTTCAAGGCTAGGTGGCCCCGCCCACCATTACTATAATACATCCCTGTAGGGTATACCTGCCAAATTTGTAGCCGTCTGATGCGGGAGACAAAAAAAAAATTTGTATATGCCCTTTATGTAAAAATCACAAAATAGAGCGCCCTCTCTGTTTTTTGAGGTTTTTTTCAATTGTGGTGGAACTGTTACTGATTACTCGTCGGTCAGTATTTCGTTAAAAGAAATTAATATGACCTGTATTCAAATTTTAATGACTAATTCGCTTAATTTTTTTTTGGGTATAATCGGTCTATACATTTATCTTTTATAAAATTGTTATGATGCGCTAGATAATACAACGTAGGCGCGAGATGTAAAAAGTGGATGCTCATGCGTGAGACTCGCGCCAAAAAATCAAGCTCAAGTAGCCAAAAATCTCACACCAAAAAAATCAGACTAAAGTATATAGTCAAAAATCACCTCCTACCACTGTATTTTTCAACCTAGCGTCCCCTAACTTAATTATCAAAGGCCCCCACAACTCTAACTTCGATTCCCCCATAACTCGCCCATTTCAAGTCTTCTAGTATATGCCACTGTTGAGCATAAATAGTCATACATACATGTAAATTAAATGCCCATATTTTTTGTTGTGGCCTCTCCTAAATCTGCTTTTTCCTTGTGCAACAAATACTTTAAAAGCCATATACAGACTTATTAAACTTAAACTTTTTAGGGTGTGGATGTTAATATGACAGCAGATAGCAAATTGACTGAAGATGGAACACAGGATTTGGAAGAGATTCAGCTGGCTGATGGGACAACAGCATACATCCAAAAAGGTTTTTGTTGAAAGAAAAAAACAATTACACTATCAAATATTATTTATTGGGTATTGTAATTGTATAAATGAATAAAATATAGATAATAATTATAGGAATCCTACTTTAATTACTGTATGTGATTAAATTTTACAGAAGTTTAGTTTGATAAAATATTAAACACTTATTGAATATTCCTTCACAGTAGATAGAAGTATTGTTGAGGGCCAAACAGTGCAATTAGAAGATGGGACAACTGCATATATTCAACAGATAACCGATAAGAATACTCGTAAGTATTGTGTCCTCACCTCACATGGCGGCCCAATCCTCTCTTGGTTACCATGGTAATACTTCACTATTTCTCCATTCTATTCTCTTCTTCTGGTAGCTGTAAGACTAAATAAAATGGCGCCCTCTTAGTGGCGAGACAACCAGCATGTTCCAAAAGCACGAAGTTTATGGAACTTTTGCATATTGTTGTAACACCTCATTATAATTGTTGTGTAGTCATACTTTAATATCGTGGTGTCAGAGGTCACAGTTGTCAGGCGACATTTACATCTATCATGTTATAAATGTTTTGTATATGTTGATTCTTTAAGGATTAACTTATAATTTGTATCTGACTTTAATTTAATTTTTATGTCATTCTGTTCATACATTTTATATAATAATAATGTTTAGGTATTTAAGTGGCACCTTTCAAAATTTAATAAACTGATTTATTTATAAATATAACCTAATTAAATTGTTATCCATACAACTTCCTCCACTCCCTGAGGAGTAAGCCTATTTGAGTAGTTGTTTGTGATACACAAACAATTCTGTTATCTACCGTTCTTTTTCATTGTTCACTTGTCTGATCTCTAGTTGCTTCATTTGAGGATGGACAGGCCGTGCAACTGGAAGATGGAACAACAGCCTACATACAGAGAGCGCCAAGTAAAGGTATCACTCTTTAAAAAAAGTATGAACCAAGTTTAAACATGTTTCTTCATTTTAAAACTTCCCATATTTTACGGTGCTAACAGGCGAAAAAAACCAAATTTAATATTTGATGAAAATAATCTTTATCACCAAGGTAGCAGATTTTTCTCAAACGTCTGCTTACTTACACAGTGCCATGGTGATCAAAAATTTGAATCACCTCAAAGGTGATAATATATATGTATCTGTATTTCCAGAATATAGATTTAGTAAACTTATTGCTACCATTTTTCTACATCAGTCTATAACAGTTAAACTTAAACCTAAGTCAACTTTGCCTAACTTGAATAATTTCTAATTAGAACTTATTTGATATGCCAAATTGTTGTGTTTCCCATTAATTAACAATCTGTAAGTCAAATTTTATCTAAGTCAAACAATTATTCAATGGCATTTTGGATTCAACTAGGCAAGTTCAACTATAGAGTACAACATTATTTGGCATCCTTTGTTGTCAACTACACGTTAGTAAAGTGGTCATTAAAAAACTAAATGCTTTCCGAGCCACTGGGGCTCATAGGGCTGGAGCTTATCCCCAGTTTCTGTAGTGTGAAGCGGATGAGAGTTGTACTCCCCCTAGATGGGACACTAGTCTGTCGCAGGTTAGTCCCCAGCAGATTGCTGGTACCCATTGATACAGCTGGGTGGACTGAAGCAATTTAGCTAAAGTGCCTTGCCCAAGGACACAAGCGAATCTGCACAGTGGAGACTCGAATCCCCGACCTTACGATTGAAAGTCCGAACCTCAACCGCTGCGCCAAACTGCCGCTGCTAAAGTGGTCATTACGCCTTCATAATCTTAATGGTTTAGAATAGGCTTTCTGGAATAGGCATTTTAAAACCTCAAAATGTGCTAAAAACACAATAGCTCACATTATATTTAGTTATCTAACACATTTAATTATCAATCAATCAAAAGTAGATACAACATCTTAATAATTACGTTCGAAATTGGGATCAATGGTTTGTCAGTTGAGACAATGGAGCTGGTTGACTACATTTTGGATCGCTGATTGCAACGGAGTAGTATTGTGACGTAACAACGTAGTACTCTCTATGCAGTAAGAAAAAAAGTATGCATATGAGTATGCAAAAACAGTATACAAACAAGTGTGTAAAAAACAGCATGTAAATAATGTAAAATAGCTTGTTGAATAATCTATTAAGAAATAATGTAAAGTTTGATTATGAAAATTTAGATGGCACAACACTGCAAGCAGTTCAGCTGGAGGATGGTACAACAGCATTTATCCAGACTACAATCTCACCTGCTGGACAGCTACCTGAGCAAGGACACACATGTAAGTTAGTATATAAGTAGGAGTTGTCACACTAATCATGGGAAACCGAGATACACAACTGAGTTAAAGAAATGTTAGCCGCTCAGCGCCTAACTTTCACCCTAGTGAGCAAATTTTTTATCTACATAGCAGAAAATCTGATAAGGAATTGTACTGCAACCAGAAATTAACAGGGATATTATTATAAACAAGACAAAACAAATGATACCATCTGAAATCGGTAAATAATGCACCAATAAAAAACTATATTGATGGCTGTTAAAGCCAGTGGTAGCACCAGCTGGGATACCTTGGACTGTTCGCTGGTCCTGTGTGCAATAATACAATATGATCCATGTGCATGTTAAAGAATGCAGTAGTACACTCTTTGGAAAAGAGTAGGGAATCGTCTCTATGTGTTACTGCCCAATCCCAACAAGAAGGACCACATTGGAAATAAGTTTTCAGACTTATCCTTGGTGTTGACACTGAATAAATTCAATCCAATAATTAGAAAATAATTTACTTCCAATAAAATACATGTCTATAACATTTGAGTTTCTATTAATTATACACAGATTTTAATACTACAAAATCAGTTTTGTAGTAAAGTAAAGTCTGTATACTTTAATAGACTTTATTACTGTACTCCAAAATCAGTTTTCAGATATTTGCTAAATTGTAAGTGCACAAATGTAATTATGCGATGTTTGTGCCACAATAAATATATCTGTATCTGTTTGAAGTAATTTCAAATAACCTTTGCCCTTGTTTATAGCTTTTGAGGCAGGGGATGATACAGTTGGTTTATTGGACCATTTTGGTGACGATGTTAGTGCAGAACAAGTGGACCAATCAGCAGCGTTGGAGTTGCAACCGGGTACATCCAATTTTCCAGATGATGGTAAAGCTAGTATCACAATCAAGGTTAAACATTTTTTTTTTCTATTTATTTGTTGCTGAACTCTTGTTTCGTTAATTTTCAATAGAACAATACCTCTCCTGTAACAGTGATCTGAAGTTGAGAATTCAGGAATTCCCAGTCGGGGTCAATGGTCAAATAGGTGGAAACGCATATTTAATGAAAGAAAATATCTTTCAATATTTTGATCTTTTATAAGGTTTATCGCGAATCAAGAAATATCAATTGAGGGTGCGTCACAAGAAAGCAACAACACACACAACATTTCCAAATAATGGCTAAATGAAATTCAACGTTTTTTGAGAAAAAAAATTGTGATCAGTCAGACGACACCACATCACCACCGTAGTTGTGGGAGAGATCAAACGGCGCTATTTCTCCCTTTTCAATCCCATTATGCAAAACAGCTTTGATTCGCGATAAACCTTATTGACATAATTGAATTGTAAAGTTTATAATGTTATAGTTCTCTATGCTCTTTTGTTTTCGGAAGGGGGGGGGGGGGTAGGCATACATTGATGAAATGACTTGCACAAACATTATCATTTTCCCTTGCTACTGCTGAACATGCACCAAACACATAGTGCACAATATTTTGAATTGGTATTTGTGACCGGCTCTGGCAAAAATTAAAAATTGCGACAAATGGCGGGTTTCGCTAGACTTGGACACATTTATTAACTATTAACAACGTGTAACTTTCTTGCAGCATGTAAGCATGAATAGCCTGGCAAAACCATTTGCAGAAATGAATGCATTAAGTCAGATGCTTGGAACTAAGACATTTCGCTGTGCATACGAAGGTTGTGGACGTATGTATACAACTTCACATCACCTTAAGGTTAGTGATATGTAACTGTTAATTGTTAGTCTTCTAAATAGTAGATGACCTTTGTCTGCTTCTCTTTCAACCATTAAGTTTTGAGCATGCATTATAGGGATGTTGTACTTTGCATACTCAAATGAATACTATAAATTAGAACCGGTTGGTGCAACGGTTGTGACTCTGACTTTTAACCTTGAGGTCGGCAAGACACTTTTATCTATATTTGTCTCTCTCCATCCATGGGTACCGGCATATGCTGGGAAGGTAAAACAGACTGTTGTGTAGGAGGAGTGGCGAACCCCCCCCCCCACAGCACTGTCTGCCTCAAACGCCAAAGAGAGAGAGACAGGCACTCCGGCCTGTGAGCCCATACTCCATGGTACTCCAGAACAAGATTAAAAACAATGTATATAGTAAAAACAACATTTAGATTTTGCAAACAAATTATAGCCATTGTGTTGCAGAATATAATAAACTTGTAATCAGTTTTCAATATACAAAAGTTAATTTTACTTCAGAAAGTTTATCTTGCTCTCATTCTTCTATGCTTAAAAATGTGAACATGCTGAAGTCTTAACTTGGTTGTGAATTGGTATGTAGCCATATTTATACTTTATCGTTACACACTGACTAAATACTAAAATTTGTAATACCATTATTATTATTTTTCTTCTTAAATTAAAGGTTCATGAAAGGTCGCATTCAGGTGAAAAGCCGTACCATTGCGATCATCCAGGATGTGGCAAATCGTTTGCTACGGGTTATGGTCTTAAAAGTCATACCCGTGTGCATACCGGTGTAAAGCCGTATAAATGTACAGATGACGCCTGCGGGAAAGCTTTCAAGACATCGGGCGACCTTCAAAAGCACATACGAACACACACTGGTTAGTTTACATGATCAATATAATTATCAAGATGCCATCATTTTCTTTTAATATTCTTTTTACTGAGTTTCATAGCTGCTTCTTCTTATTGTGTCTGAACACTAGCTAGATACTTTGTTTCACCCAGAGCTGGAAACATTTTCTAGCACAACCATTGTACTCTGCCTGGTCCATCAGATGGCATGATGAAAATGGTGGTACAAGTATATGTTAACTTGATCTGGATTTTTGTGTGATGATGGTGGTATAACTAGTGATATTCAGGGCCGTGATGAGGACGCTTCTACCAAGTTTCATAGCTAAAAGGGACTTAAGTGGGACTATCTATATAATTTTCAATTTATGTATCAGTATCTATCCATATATATATATATATATATTGAATTTTTTTTTGTCCTAAAATATCTACTCAACTACTTTTGCTATGTGCCGCCTGTTTGTCTGTATTATGTGTCCATCCAACTATATGTGTGCATCTAAAATATGTATTTATCAGTAATATCTATCATTATCATCATTCACTTTTTTAAGTAAGTTTCTACTTTTTAGATGTATTTAATGTTTATTATTCTGTATATTTACAATTTTTTGCAAACAATTATAATATATCTGGTACACATGTGTGTGACCATGTTTTAAAAGATAGGCCTAAACATTTTATGCAATTCAGACAAAAACACCTTCTACATAAATGTATTAAAGTTATACTCCTAAACAAGTATTTTCAGAGTAAAAAATAACTCTAAACATGAGGTTGAATTAATAGTTCAGTGACATGGCCGCTCAAAGTGCGAGTTAAAGTGACATGATAATTCTGGTGATAGAGAGTGAGCATAAAACTTTGGACTGCTGCCCATAAAACAACCCAAAACTGGGCTTCAAACTGTATTGCACACATAAAGTACTTTCTCAATTTCTTCAAATATATACCCTTCAAAATTTGTCATACCCTAAACACGAAACATATGTTAAAAATCGTGTTCACAAAATAACCACCCTTTTAACGCATTTTGGGTCATACACATGCAATCCTGAGGTCAAGTTGAGTGACCTTCCTGGGAAATATCCATAAGAAAAATGGCAGAGTCTGCTATATTGCAATATAATATGAATAATTCTAGTTGCATTTGTTAGCAATTGTAATATTGTTCACTCCAATTGGAAGTACTTATTCTCAGTTAATTTCTGTTCGTTGTATTGCATATCAATGAATTTTGACTGCAAAATTGCTATTATGTCATTTTGTTTTGTTTATAAAGGTGAACGCCCATTTAAGTGTCCATTTGAAGGTTGCAATAAAGCATTCACGACGTCAAACATCAGGAAGGTCCACATCCGAGTGCACACTGGTGAAAGGCCATATATATGTAACGAGAAGAACTGCAATCGGGCATTCTCCAGTGCCACCAACTACAAGAATCACATGCGTATACACACAGGTTAGTTTGGAGTGCCATTTTAGGTAGACAATGAATGTGCTTGCCTTTATAATCTAGGGTTCTGGGTTTGGTCTGTCTGAAGTTGCAGGAGTTAGTAATCATTTTTATTTTTGTTTAAGATTGTAGTGTTGTTGTGGGTCGACAATAAGAACAATAAGACCTGCTAATTATGTTAAAGAACTCTCTGGTTTATTCCAAAACTCCAACTATGTTGCAACCACGATGTTACATTGACAGTCGCCATGTATGATTTCCTCATGACCTCTATATCTCATAACTATAGATGGCGCTATACCATTTGAGAAACTACAGTAATGATGATGATCAACAACAATGACGAAAATACAAATTTTAAAGTGTGCCTGTAACATTTTCTCATTGCTTATCTTCTAATCAACATCATCTTCATTATGAATTAAAAACAGTTTGGTGTACTGGGAATGGTTTGGTTTTCCAACCTCAAGGTCGGGGTTCAATCCTTCACTGTGCCTTTTGCTTGTGTGTCCTTGAGCAAGGCACTTTACCTACTTTGCTTCAGTCTACCCAGCTATATTATTGGGTACCAGCATATTTCTGGGAGTAACCTGCAGTGGACCGGTGTCTCACCCAAGGAGAGTATTTCACTCTCATCCGCTTCACGCTACATAAACTGGGGATAAGCTCCAGCCCTCATGAGCCCTAGTGGTTTGGCAAGGATTTATACTTTCACTTTATTAACTGCGGTATACCATCATCTCAATACAGTAAATTTAAGAGACAAATTTGTGTCAATGAAAAGTATAGCAAGTGTAAATAGTATTGTTTTACTCTATAGTTTACATTTTATCATAATTTTATATTCATGACAGGAGAAAAACCATATGTTTGCACAGTAGCTGGATGTGGAAAGCGGTTTACAGAATATTCAAGTTTATACAAGCATCATGTTGTTCATACACATTCCAAGCCATACACCTGTAACCTGTGCGGTAAAAATTATAGGCAGACTTCAACTCTTGCCATGCATAAGAGAACAGTTCACGGTGAAATAGAGCGTAGTATTGATGTTGATCCACAGATTTTCGAGGCTGGATGTAAGTTTCTTTGGTATCTTCTTCATTTTCAATTGTACATACAGAATATACTAATAAAGTAAATTAAAATATTTGAAAGATAACCAAACACCAAAAACATAACAGATTTTTATAGTATCAAGTTGTTCTATCAGAACAATTAAGAAGAGTAGAAAGTTAGTTTTGTTGAGAACTGTTGTTTTTGTTGAGTGTCATTGCAGTTGAGTTGTTTCAATTGCCATTTTATATTATTCTTTTAATGATAAGGAACTCAAATTGAAATGTTGAGACTCTTTCAGCATAAAAAACAGTAAGTTTCATTTAATGCCTTAATGATGATTTTCTGATTTTACAAGTTGGTACAGTGCACTAGCGAAAAAGTATGTGAAAGCTTTATACAAAAATTATTTTGTATTATATCTCATTTCAGTATCTGAGGAAGGCCACAGTTCAGACAAGCTACCTCAGATAGAATACACAATAACAACGCGCTCCATGCCAGCAGGGCAGGCAAAGAACAACCAGACCTTTGGTCAGACTCAGATCACACTGTCTCAGGGAGGTCAAACCAACATTATAATCCAACGTGCAGATGGCTCAACCATCCAAGCCACAGAAGGCACTATATTGCAAACATCTGCTGGAACATTCGTTCTGCAACAAGCCTTACCACCATCAGTACAAGGTGCCTCATCAGATGTTGGTGCGTTTTTAAGTATTAGTGGCGTAACATTTATGAGCTCTCACTTGCTAAAGCCAGAGACCCAGAACCTGAAGATACCCTGGGATACTTGTCAGTATTTTGTCTGCCATTACCATACACCCCAAATCGGCCAAGTTGGGGATATATGCTTTCCCATGGGTACCAGGACCCAAAGAAACCATACCAGTGACCTGTTCGTTACGCCATTGTTTAGGGTGTTCCACAAATTACCGATGTTATAACTGGCGCCCTTAATTCCACCCTGTACCATCTTGTTTGAATTCTACCACACTTGTCATTTTTATGCTTTATTTTTTATTATTATTTCTATTGTTTTTATATTATTTTCTTATTAATTATGATGGTAAAAATGATTACTATAAAACAGTGGCAATTCTTTCCTTTCTCAATTTTTTATTTTCAATATTTCTTGATGTTTTTCACCTCCTTTTTCAAATTTTATTGTTTTTGTGTTTGTACTTTATTTGCATTTTAGATTTATATATTTCTATTCTTGTATTTTAATCGCAAGGAGTGAGCCATTGTAGAGGTGTTACCTGTTGGCTTGCTTCCATCGCTTCTGTGTATTTTACCTCGTCTAGAAATCTTTTCCTCAAGACTTGAGAATCAATCTGTTGACATTTTCAAGAGAAGGCTAAAGAGTTGTCCTTGATTAAATCCTTCTTTCCTCTATGTTCAATAACCATGGCCATATTTGTTCTATTTATCCTTGACCACATGGTTGCTTATTTCTCTGTCACAGATATTGGAGATGATGCAGGCGAGGGCGCTCTTACTCTAGTAACCCCAGACACTGAAGCTGCCATAGCAGCCATGAAGGCAGCAGCTGAAGAGTCTGTTTTACGAGCAGCAGCAGAAGTTGAAACTGCAGCACAGATGGCTCAAAACGAGGTAAAATATTTGGAAGGGAAGTTGCTTGTTTAAAAAATAAGGTTAACAACAAACGCTAGAATGTTATCCCAATTTTGGCAAGTATAGTCGTCCCTAGTGCCCTCAGCAACACCCTGTGGGATGAATATAAGATACTGTATTAGGGCCACTGAATCATGGAGGTTTTTCTTTTTCTAGTTTTAAGTTTCATGCCTATCAAAGGTTATAGAACTGCAAGAGGATCTGACTGCCATGATTTTGTATGCAAAATTTTTTGTTTTTTGTTTTGGACTGTTAAAAAAAGTATGGGGGCGCCCTATTAGAATTCAAATAGAGTTCGCTCGAAACTTGTCTTTTAAGGACATACCCCTTCGTGGCAGTAGCTTTAAATCAGGATTACGTTCCAACGAAATCACAGGAGTCGTACCATTGCAGTTATGTAATCTTTCCTGCTTTACTTTATTTTAGAGAATCTCCAAGAATCAAATAAAGTTGAAATAAAACCACAGTTTTAGGGGATGGAAGATTCATTGTTTAATGGAAGAAAATATAGCTATTAACTTTCTATTCAATATATTATAACAGAATAATATGATATATAAATTAATATGAACATTTTTTATTAAATTATTTTGCAAATATTTATCTGACAGGGTGCAGAAATTTCCGACCAATCAGCAGAAGAGCAGAGTGGTGAGCTTGATGTACTTTCAAATTCAACCAGCACAAGAATAATGGATGTAACCAGTTAAAAGAATACATTGGTACATTGCATCCGATGATCATGCAGTACTTTTCGTTGGCACCCAATCTCTCTTTCAGATTACACAGATTGGGTGCATTATGTTGACATGCATCAGGGCTTTCTGTTTTCACCCAGGCATCACCTTGTGTGCTTATATTTTGCACCCACGTACAGGGTATGTTACTCAAGGTGCTTTCAGTTTGTACCAAGGTGTCACTTAAGGTTTTTTTCAGTTTGCACCCAGGTGTGGTAAATCATGTCTGCATTCAGTTTGCACCCAGGTGGGCACCTAATATGCTTGTAGTTTTCACCCAGGTGTGGTAACTCATTTGCATTAGTCAGTCAGCACCCAGGTGTTGTGCTCTTAATGTGCTTTACCTCATGTGCTCCGTTTGTAGCCACATCCTTTAAAAACTAATGTGGTTAAGATATCTGTTTATGCACTCTGATTTAGTAAACATGACTGTAATTTGTTGACAATTCCTGTCTTTGAAACATCAGAAACTACTAATATAAAAGGCAGTGTTTCTCGAAATATAGTGCCTATATATAAAAGCATGTGCTGAAATATTTCTTAAGATAAAATTTATTTGAAAATGAGGATGTAGTTGTAAACTGAATGGTTATTATTCCTATGCAATTGTATTGCTGCCAATGTGAAAATTTGATTTTCTTTCTATGGGGGGGGGGGGAAGAGTTGGTTGAGAATCAGGTGTTTATTATTATACTGATGTTATTGTTGTGAATGATACAGATCTTTAATTTAATTAATTTCAAATATTGTATACTTTGTTACCAGCATTAAAAAAATGCCAGTATAAATAAAAATTTAAACACACAGTTATGTTATCCAATGTTTGTTTCTTTTTCAAAATACATCACAAGCTCACTTCATACAAATCTTCATTCTGTCTGTTTTCAGAGTTACTGTTTTTTTTTTTTCTTTTAGCTTTATTATTTGAAACTAGTGAATCCACTATTTTTATTTAATACAAAACAATAATATATAAAATTACAAATAACCACATTTATTGATTGCCAAATTTAAACAACACTATCACTTTCACAGAATTTACTACCGTACATTATTATACATTTCTTTATTATTATATTTCATACCATAATTTTCTATTAAATGTTAATTCATTGAATAGTAAATCGCACGAAGTTTTGAGTTTCCATCATGGGACCGTGGAGTGATTCTGTTGCTGGTCAAATTACTAATGTTTTGGATCAAGTCATTTGTACCGCCAGTGGCAGTACCACAAGCAGAGGTCAGGGAAATTCCCCTACCCTTTCATCAGACAACTCTAGGAGTTGTCGGTCTAAAAATCTGATACAAGAACTTACTGTAGTACATGCAGTTCCTAATAATTATCTAGAACCATAATTTGTAAACCGTAAAATAGCTTCCCCCCCCCACCCCCTTATCTCCACGAGGGGTTTTAGAAGAAGACCCTGACCAGAGACTCTAGGCACAACTTTGGTTCGTATGGGTTAAAGAAATGGTATGTATACTACTGTAATTGTGATATAAACGGCTAGATTACAGTACTCCTAATTTAAAGGATCTGAGAATATTGAAACATTGTGTACAGTGGTGCAACAGCTGGAAATGGCACTATCAGACATGGATTATTTTTATCTCTCTTTGATTTATTTCTAAAAAATTTTATGGAAATGGGGACTGCCACTCAACCCAACAGTACAATCAGCCAGCGAGGATCTTTGGTTAAAATTTAAATACTGTATATCACCAATATTCCTAATTAGTTACTCATGTTTTGACCTGTAAATACAAACACTGATTTTTATGATGTAAAGTACACCACCAGTACAAATTTCAATGGATATTGTTTACTGTAACCCTTTTATAAAGTTAAGCATGCTATTATAAGAATATTTAAGTATAAAGAAGACACAGAGCACTATTTGAAGAAATTATTTTCTAAAGAATTACTTATTTTCTAAAAGGCTTTCAAAATATGCCCATGCTTCAGACTACCATATAGTACTGTAGCTAGTGGAATTAAGTAAAACTGATATTAGTTAACTGAAGTGCCTGTTTAGTGAACATGTGCGTGCATATCTGTATGTGTGTGTGTCTTTGTGTGTGTGCGTGTATACATATATATATATATGTATATGTATATATATATATACTTATGTAACTTGACACACACTTATGACCCGAGGACCTTTTGCCTTACAGAGGACCAAAAACCATTGTCTTCGGTGCACTAGTGCTGGATTTGCGTGTATAACACGTTTCCAGAGTGTCCCTGTAAAGGTCCTCTGCTGGCGGAAAAATTTGAAAATGTGTGACAAGGCGTTATGCGCTTTTATTTGAGTGGCGTTGCACAAATAAATAGCGCCCTCTATGCATAAAACGTTGACCACGTGTGTGGCGGTGTCCATGGCATAAACCTGAGCGAATTTTATGGTTCTCGGCATACTTGGGTGGTCCTCGGTCGGTCCTCTGATGACTGTTTTTAGTCGGGGTCTTCTGGACATAACGTTTACAGGTATGAGTATGTGTGGGGGTGTGTGTGTATGCATATATATGCATATGCTAGATATTTATTTTTTTTATGTCAGAATTTTCTACTACAATTGCAAATTTATTCTAGAATTGTTAAATGAACTTAAAGGCTATTGACAAATTGTGATATTATTACAGGCTCAATATCACAAATCGTATAAAAAAAATATTAAGATGTTAGTGGTTTACATTTACTATACAGAAACAGAGGAAAATGAATGATTGATTTTGATCAAGCAGGAGACAGATGAAGTGATTGGTGGTTATCAACAAGGTTTCACTGGAAACATGCAATCCTACCACAAAATGAGTATTGTTGCACTTAGAGACCAAAAAAAAAAAAAATGAATTTTAACCACCATTTAGTAAACAATGCAACAGATAATTTGCAATTTAATTGGCATTGGCCTATCCAGAAGTGGATATACAGTCTTTAGAATATAAGCATGTTTGAAAATGGAATTTGGAAACTACGTCTCAATATCAAGGCGAGTATCATACCATTAGACCATCGACGTTCCAAGCTATTTTGTTCCTTGCTTGATCAAGAGAGGCAACACGATGTCTCATTCTGTAGTGGAGGGTTGACAAAACATAATATCCATTCTATTTTAAAGTTTTTTTAACAGTACACATTCAGTTTCGAAGGAGATTCATAATATTAGTGTCACTTGTTTCTCAATGAAACCTGTTGTAGCTTTTTTCAGTCTGATAAGTTTAAGACAGAAATGTGATAGAGACAGTAGATAACTAAGAAAGTACAGTATATGATTTCTTTTTGTTTTTTGAAAAAATGTTACCGGCAAACTGTGATCTTGGTAAGAAACACGTCTTTCTCATCCCTATGAAGACAAAAATAAAATTTAGGTATCTTAAAATTCTGCTCGATAATATTTAGTGTACCTTCAAAATTAAAAGATTGTACAGTATATTATCTCTGATGAAGCCTTCTTTCAAAGTATATATAATTAAATTGATGCATTGTCACATTTTAAAAACAAATTTTCATGAGCTAAATTAAAACTCGAAGCAATAGCGGGTAAAGAAGTCTACATATACGGCAGTAATAATACTTCTGTCTTTAGCTTTAACTTTACAGTGATGCACAGAAACTCACATATATATAAACATATAACAGTATACATACACACACACAAATATATGGTAGATGCAATAATTGGTTATGACAGGGTTGAATGGCAAAATCTTTAATGTACCTATCATCTAGAGTGAGTAGGAAGGATAAAAGGAATTGCTTTTAATGAAACTTGTTTTTTAATTCAATATTTTAGGTTTCTATTTTTTCCTTCAGATTTACCAATCATAGTTTAATATTATATATATATATATATATATATATATATACAGTATATATATATATATTAAACATATATTATAACATATATTATATTATGTAATATAATATTAAGTATATCTATTTTATAGATTTATATTTGAGATTTATTATTTAATATTAAACCAACTTATATTAATTATGAAATTGAAGGGGAGAGAAGAAACAATAAAAAATAGGTCTCCACTTAATTAAAGACCATGGCACTCCAAATAAAGACCACTTTTCTGTGGTCCTTAATTCACAAACGTCTTTTACTTTATTAGTTAGAGACAAAAGCTGCTAAAGATCATGGAAACCAAAAGTGGTCTTTAAATGGAGGAAGACCTGTATTTAAAATATAATGTTCACCAAGATAAACTACAGCAGCGAAGATGATGTACTTCCTAAACATTAAAGCTGTCACAGGAAAAAAAAAAAAGTTGATAAATAGTATGAAACAAGGTGGCCTATCCACTAATTATTGCATTTAATAGAAACAACAGGTAAAATACTGAATGACAAAGTCAAGGATAATTTTAATGTTACAGTATTCAAAACTAAAGTGATACAGATTATTTATGATAATTAAATACCTATAGATTGATACTGATAGAATCCTTTTATTAAATTAACATACAAATGAACTGAACACTTCGATCAGACGTTCGTGGTCATCTTCTCACGCAAAGAACGAACACCATATCATTGATTTTTCAGTATAGCTACATAAAAATTATATATGTAATATTAAACACATTATACATAATTTATTTTATTTTTACTTGATATTAGAATCTACCTAAAATAATTATTACATAAATTTTAATTAAATTGCAAGATTATGAATGTTGCAAGGCTATTTCTAAAATCCTTTAACAACAATAATGCAAAGGTATACCGTCTGTGAGGAGCAAGAAAAAAACTTGAAAATTGAAATTTGAATTGCTCAAGTCGGATAATTAGATTCCAATTTTAATTAGAAAATAAAATTTACCTCTCTAATGGAAATGTGGTGAATCGGCATTTGTTTTGGAAGTTATTAAATTCTTATAAAATAAAATATTTAATGTGTTAATGGGGGCGGCCCTCCCCTTTTTTTTGGAAAGAAAGAAAAAAAGAATGAAAAAAAAAGAAGAATTTATTGATTGCCCAAAATGCCTCAAAGGTTATTTCCGGTCATTTAGAAAACAAAAAATTCCCGGGGGAAATGTTTTCTCTTGATACCCCCCACCCAAACATTTTCCAATATCTCTAATTCTGCCCCTGTTACCCCTGTTAATTGAATGCTTTCGATGTTCTTAAATTATATGACAGGCGGTATACCTTTATATCAAATAATGTTAACACCAAATCTAAGAGGGCAGTCTTTCTGTCCAAATCTAAACTTTCCCATGAATCTAGCTCATTCTCACTCAACAGCTTTCCTTAAATCTTAAAGAATTTAGTTTCAAGAATTCTTGAATTGTATTTCTAGAATATCTATGCATTGTATGCGAAATATACACCTAGACACGGACTACAGATATAATATAATTTAAAACAGTTCCAATTAGTTGGTTGTTGTCAATCAACATCTCATTATTACCAATAATAGATCTATTCAACCCCAATATACATTTTTAATTCACATCTTACATGGAGTATATAAAACTACATACTAATCTGAGATAGACACTATATACCACAGTACATGATTCCCAATATACAATTAAGGATCACCTTTTCCCAACAGCTGTTTAAGGTTTACCACAAATTCATGGTTTATAATTCCCATTTTTCAAGGAATTAGTTACTACACTGCATTTTAAGCAAAAACAATTAAACTTAAAGCATTACATTCTAATGGTTATAATGCTACTATCTTGTAGAGAAGTGGATCATTTTTCTTTTTACAACAAGGTAAAAGTATTACCTTCACTGTGGAATGCTATGTTAATTTGCTAGCTTTTATGCCATTTTATAATTTATGCACCCCTGCAATGGAATACCGAAGTGAGCACATCCCACAAGACCACATTCCCACATGTAGACAGTAAATTTTATAGGCCTAGAAAGAAGTTATCGCTTACTATTTAGCAATCATTAAAATGATGGTTTTATATACTTCATTGTTGACTAATGCACTGTTTTTTTTTTAATTTAATAATTTTGGATTGACTTGAATCTCCTTAAAGGTACAACATACATTAAATATCTGTGCTGTAAAATGAAATGACCTTTGAAGTTTTAGTGTATATTTAACTTCTTAGAATGTTATTCTTTTCTTTTTCTTTTTTATTTTGTTATGTTAATTAGACTTACATAGATCAAGAGTATTAACATTCAGCCCTACTGCAGTGGTGGGAGACGGGAAAATGGTAGAAAAATAAGGAGGCCAAGCACAGAGAATAAGTTGTATTTCTACTAATACTCAGTTTCTTACTATTTTTTTTATATACCAGAGTGTATGTTGCTCAGCAAAATTCCATTAGGGCCACTTGGGGAAAATCTACTTTTACTAGCGGAATATGTTCCATAGGTTGGGTCCAGTGCAGAATGCCCTAAATAATTAACATATTTCACTTTCCGAGAGACTTTTTATTATGTAATAATATCCCATAATACCGTTCTACTAAAATTGCTAACCACAACGAGATAGACAACAGCCAACTGTTGATTCAAGCATCGCCCAAATTACTTTTGGTTTTTCAAAATTGAAACAATTTTGTCGAAAATTATTGGTGGGCCTACAAGAGAGTTTGGCCCACTAGAAGGTTAGGCCCACCCAGCTCACCCTGTGCTACCGCCAGTGCTATGTACCTTCATCCCCCTACGTAAAGTGCCATGCCAAGGACACAAGCAAAATGCACAGCGAGGGATTGAAACCCAACCACAAGTTTATTGCCGAGCTGCAACTGCAGCCCAATCTACGCCAATTTCCTATTTTAACTAAAATAAAAGTAAAGTACATTGAAGTCGTCATATTTAATCCCAAAATATTACAGCTGAAAAAACACATGGCCTAGGTTTATAGAAAGAGAAAACCTTCAACCTCTTTAAAAAAAATAGCATAATATCTATTCATTTGTTTTTCACCAAATTTTTTCAAATATTTTAAATAACATGTTTCATCTGTTCATAATTCTCATAGCAACTCTCATTATATTTAATTAAACTGCCATGGTTCTAAATGAAATAAACTTCCCAAGATAGCCGAGAGAAAAATGCCGAAAATTCCAAAGCTGATGAAATAAAAACTACATGCCAAATTGTTATAACATGTGTCAGTAATATAAACAGGTAGCTAGCCCCCTGATAAGTTTGACCATATATTTTACATGACAGTGGAACTACTGAAGGGTTAACATACAGTATGATATGTCCAAGTATTGAAATGTGTCTATACAGTAAGCTGACTCTCTCTGACCATTCTACAATACAAATGATGCGGGGATGATAAAAATGTGCCAAAAACAATTTAAATGTAATACTACTACCAAACTTTATCATTACGCATACGCTAAATAAAATTGGAAACACGATTGACTGCTGCAACGTATGACTTATTTCTACTGCATCAATGATGTTGGAAGCATGACTTATATAGCATTAACTATCTGAATACGTTTTATGCTCTCCTTGAGTCAGTACCGTTTTCTCATTCGGGTGAGAGGATGCACTATCTGGGGCTGGCATTGGTATAGCTACGTTGGATGGGTGATGGTCGTGACTGCCGGGTGTATCCCCACCCTGGTATGAAGATGTACCCGACTTTGGCTGTGTTATAATAGGATCTTCGGAGCCTCGGCTGCCATCCTCCTCGTCGATGACGATGTTGATCTCCTCATCTTCTGGAGGCCTAGGTCCACATCGGCCACAGCAACAATTACAGCAGCAACAGCAACACAAGCAGAAACAACAACCAGTAGCAAGGAAACAACATAAAATCATGCCCTGAAAAACAAAATTACCATTAATTATAATCTGTATAGCTTAACACTTTGACCGCCAAAGACAGAGATCTCAGTCTTTTAAACCCCAACCATTGACCGCCAAAGATGGAGATCTTCGTTTTTTTTAATTTTCTTTTCTTACACGATAGAGGGGGTATGTCTGGATTTCTAGAAAATCTGTACGGTGTTCAAACCGGTCGGGACCAGATATGTTTCGCTATTTCAATGTGACCTATTCCCAGTAACTTAATATTGCATGGCGATACAAAAACACGATTATCTCATTGTAGGAATATGCGTAAAACCCCAAAAGTGAGACACATTCATTTTACTGTTACAGGGTTATAAATTGTGATTTAAATAAATTGTTTTGTGTAAAGGTGAGATGTTTGTCGTTCTTTTAATGTATAATACCTATCAATTGGATCAGGTCAGCACTCTTAGCGAGCTTTGGTCAAATTCGCTAAAAAGGCTAGTGGTGGTCGATACTATTTTTCAAACACAGTTGGCGGTGAAAGTTTTAAGAGTAGCACTGCATGTTAAGAGTAGCACTGCATTTTTGAAAGTGATTAAATTCATCAAAATTCCCAATGTTACGTTTAATACTTTTATGCCGACTTGCAACAGCACGTAATCACAACATTTGATCACTCTGATGCGTCATGAAAAATGTTCAAATACTCATCCAACATGTTAAATAACTTCCTAATTTATGAATTTGATGTACAGTAGACTTGAATGCTTTCACCACGTCACAGTAGTCACTTCGGAGTGCATACCTCCACCCTGTGCATACCTCCACCCTGTGCATGAATACCGTACAATACGCAGACCGTGTATGACGGGCGTTTACATTATTTTCAACAAGGTGCCCTAATACTAAACGATACGCAGGCCATATTTTGTTTTATGCTCAGGGTGAAAAAATAGACTTTTCTTGACCTTTGACCTTTTTCCCCACACTTAATTTGAACATCTCTACCTTCGGTTATGTACTATTTCACTGAATTTTATTATCAATTCATTAGTTTTCATGTAATTTTGCTAAAGCCAGAGAGGCTTAACAGGGGTAATAACAGCACAACCCCATAAATTTAAAAAATGTCTTACCCTGAAACATTTACTATTCATCATAAAGTATAAATCAACATTTTCTTCGCCGATTTGTTCAGCAATATATAATCCCATTGAACCATACTCGTCGTATATCCTCCTTTTCCTCTCATCGCTGAGAACTTTATTTGCATGGTTGATTTCTTTGAACTGTAACAATATAAATATAATTACTGTAAATAACAATTTAAATATATAATAAAAGTAAAAACCGTATTAGAAATAATAGCATGAAATACAAATGAAATAAGTACAGTAGCATGTATTGTTTAAAAGACAAGCTTTCGCAAGCTTTAATTAATTATACTGATTGAAAATATGAATGATTTGTGTCTACTGGGCTAAGAATTAACTATAAGGCCCCACCCACTCTTGACCGTCACCCTCAATACACTGTACACAATAAAGTAACACATGATCAGATATAGTGTGATACGGTGATACCACAAAAGGCAAATGGACCGTCGCACACGATCGGTCCCTAAATTAATTTCCATAGTAAAAATTCTTAAAAAGTGGCTAACAAGCCAAGCGGCAGGGTGCTGTAGCGCCCTAGTGTATTGGAGAAGGAAGGGGTGGCAGACGGGAAAAGGAATTTCCAAGGAGTTGTCGGTGCACGGAGCGAGGTAATTACAATCCGCAACGAGAAAAGGGGTCCGATTATGATTCCACACGAGGAAATGCAATAGGTTTAAATTATTACGCCGACCGAGTGACACCAATTGGGGTGTACCTACGCCCCTTGACACAAAGAGTTTTTCCGCTGGTGTCGGAAAATTTATTTCTCTTTAAACATAATTGTATAATAAAATGTAAAAATGAGCACAACTACATTTGTAATAAATAAATTTAAAGAGGTAGAAAAGATTTTATTACATTTATACTGTATGTACTACAATATATACAGAAAGTGAAATTTGAATATTACCTATCTATATGCAAAGATTAAATTGTTATTAAAGAGGACTTCCTGAATGTGCTATCTTCCAAAATGTTTGTGTTTGTAGTTTATACAGTATCTGTAATCAAAAGTTTGTATGCTTTGCGTATGTATACTGGCCACAGGTCACGTTGTGTGTGAGCTACAGTAATATTCATGGCAATGTCAATCAAATATTTGTATTAAATCTTCCACCAGGCATATGTGGTATTCATCTTAAGATTACTTGTTTAACTTATTACTTGTATAGCGCCTTTTCAGTTACGAAACGCTGATTACATCCTTATCATCATCAAACGTGAATATTACTAATGTACTTTTTCAGGGAAAAGGAGTGATAACATATTAGACATGTTTTTGAATATTCTTAATGACATGACCATGAAATGGGTATCTGATAGACATTTTAGATTGGAATTTATCTGTGTGGAATTACTACACATGGAGGAATAGTCTATTTATTTATTCCTCAATGCACAAACATACACACACTTGCAAGTGATCTTGGAAATATGCTGATTGGTTCACATAAAAAAAATTATTAATTTATTATTGTTAAGGCAAGCCTTTTTAGTACTTTGTTTATAGCGAACATATTTTTTTAAAGATCATACTGTAGGAGGGTGGAAAAAAATATGATTTTCTTTTATTTCCTTATTTCACAAAATTACTTTATAATTTTGAAATTACTTTTCTTTATACAGTATATGTATTTCAATTTGATTTTTTATAAATTAGATTTAAGTTTCTTCATTTTCTTTGTATCTTCTTGCAAAAAACGGGTCTTGTGAAAAACACCATTATGGTGATACAAGTTTTTTCTGTTTTAAAATAAAGTTGTTATTATTAAGTCTCATTTTCATTGTTTTATTTTTTTTAATTTTTTTTTTTTTTTTGTGGGAGGGTGTGCTAAGTGACCAAAAATAACATTTAATTTTTATTAAAAATCACTACTATTTTCTAAAACATGATATAAAAAAAGTCTCGCCTAAATGTCAAAAATGTTGTTAATACAAAAAATATACTTAACCTTTTCTGAAGCTTCTGGATTTCCTAAGTTTTTATCTGGATGATGTTTCAATGCTAACTGTAAATAATACATAAAAGATAATAAATAACAATATGTATGAATAACATTTAACTCTATATTAATTGGCAATCTTTGAATGCTCTACATTCAAACAATCAGAAGCAAAGTTTATGAGTATGTTCACACACACGGCGTAACTGGCGTAACATACACCTTCGTGTGTGAACTACTGTATGCAGTGGCAGTATTAACGGCACCTGTAGACCCCAGATTAAATGCCTTGGATCTAATGCCAGTGATGCTTGAATGATTTTGACCTCAGGTCAAGTGATTGACTATCATGATTTGCTTTACAGTAAACAAGCAATACTCAGAAAGGAAAGCACAAGACCAAAGTATTGTTTGGATAAGTCTATTCTAATGGCCAAAACTAAAACTGAGGTGGAAGACTATCTACAGTAACTCAGCGACCTCATTGGACTCTGGGACAATCCTGAATTTCAGGACCAAATTAAGGTCAGAAATTTGGAAAATCCAGCATGGCAATAAGTAAAGTTGTCTAGGCCCTACACCAATTTATTTTATATATTTGACCAAAACCAAACTAGGGGCGGATCGAGGATTTGAAAGAGGGGGGTTCAAAATGTTTCCAAAAAACCCCAAAAAAGAAAGGGGGATACGGGGGTTGTCCCCTGGGAAAATTTTGATTCTTCGAATGCTGGATCAGTTCTTCAAAACTCAAGGGGTTTACCCCTCTTGAAAAAGGTCAGATAATTTTTATCTCATTCTTTAGGCCTATACATAGAGAAAAAAAATCAAAGATATAGGAAATATATTATTATATTCCAACAATATTAAATAGTTAAATATGTAGTCTTTCTTCCATGGATCGATGAACCGATAGGCCTGAAGAACGCACTTTGGTACATAGATTATCACGACGTCGAACCAAAAACAGTGTGTATAATTTATTTAATTTTTGGTTATATCTAACAGTTGGGCTCAGCCCAAACTATGCCTAGGTAGGTTGCCATTTGTACGCCAGGACCCAGTAGTAGTATTTTGTTATGTTTCTTCATCTGAACACCCTGAGCACCCCAGGATCTGAAGCACAGTTTCCATGTCTGGCATTATACACCTCATGAGCTACACTTTCTTTAATAAAATGATGTAAAAACAGCAAAAGAAAAACAATCACTGTGGCTGTTTCGTAATAGTCTTCACATTTACTGAAAGAGGCTCTCACTTTCTGTTTCTTTAAAGCCAGCATATAGAGAACGCCGTTCGTGTGAACACTTCAGAATTTTTATATCGGTGGATTAGCTTACGCCTTGCAAACATACCCCAAGTATGCATAAACAGCATACGAGGCAATTCTCATCAGGAAAGAGGAAAATCAAAATGAATATTAAAAAGATTAGATTTTTCCAAGTTTTTTGGGGGGAAATAGTGAAAATAAGTACAATTTTCACTTAGAATTCCAAGAAAATACATATGTATGTAATAGGAAGGAGAATAGAATTACAGTTAGCTTAATGAAATATAATACTGTACTCTTTTCTTCAATGTAGGCAGGGGTCGCTAGTTTCCTGTAAGCCACAGGATTCTCCTAGATATGGTCTAAAAATCCTCCCAAAGCTGACCGACCTCCTGCTATGCAAATCAGAATGTGCTTGGGCAGCTCATTTTAAAGCTAGTCTCACTGAAAACCTTAACTTCGGATCCATGACATTACAAACATAAATATAACAAACAAAAATAATAAAATTGTTAAATATAGAAATAACTTGGTTAAGTACAACACCTTTCTATATGCCTTCTTAATTTCATCTGGTGTGGCAGTCTTCTCCACATTGAGAATTGCATACAGTGATTCACCAGATGTACTACAAGAAAAAAAAAAGAGAAACTAGAAATTGCAAATTGCAAGTGAAGTGCTGCGAAGTACAACTGCATATAAATGTTCTTCGAACAAAATTATTTATGCGAGTCAAGTGAAAATAATGAATAATAAAAATATAAAAAAATAATATGAGACACGACCCATTGTCTATATTAGAACACTTGTCATTGGGTAACAAAGTCGTAATTTTTCATTTTTGTTAAAAATTGTCTAAGTGGTTTAGGTTTTTTTAATAAAGTTTCAAAAATGTCTATGTATGTGGAAAATGTAGTTGATTTACCAAAGGTTATAATTTTTATTTTGAAGACTGCATGGTCTAGGAAGTGTACATTTTTTATGGGGCAAGTTTCCAAGGGCGGGTTTTCTAGGGGCGAGTTGACTGCCAAAGAGTGTTGCCAAAGTGCGAGCCAGCGTGTTATTTGATCACAAGTGCGAGACCGCAAGTGTGAGCCAGCGAGCCATGACGTCACGACAATAGATACGGGACGTTACTTGAGTTGTGCGAGGTATCGGCTGTGAGTTGTGGAGTACAATTCAAAAAACAAATATAGGTCTAATAATGAATTATTGTGATGTTAAATAGACAATGTTAGCTATCAAGGAGCGACGTTGTTTTTCATTGGGACCTTCGTCCCTTCAAGGCTAGGCCCATACCATCCTAGCTAGTCTAGGCCTAGAGTAGGATAAGGCTAGCGCAACATGTGGACGTTGGTACGTGTTGGTCTACAAACGTCGCCTAAAATATTGATTTTACCCGGCAGAACGAAAGAAGGAAACTCCGCTTTTCAGTCGTCTTAGGCCCTTGTTTTTTGACAAACAATGACTTTCAGAGGTCAAATTGCTGTCAAGAATATGAATTGGCTGCTTCGCAGCAATTACAATGACTTCATCAGTTCAGATTTTTTTTGTTATATATTTTATGAATTTGTTATACTATTTTATATATTTCTATATTTTAAAAATTATTATAAGGAGTAAGTCATAGTAAAGGTGCTTGCCGCCTATGGGCTCACATGCTTCACTTTTGTATTTTTATAAAGTGAGAAGTTTCTTAGAAAAAAAAAATAATAATAATTACTATATTTATTAATGGGTGACTCTTTCCAGCTTAGCTAATATTCAGATGCCCTCATAAATAAACAAAATCAAAATAAGTAGCATGCTTCCTAAACCAAGTTAAGGCCAAAAACAATACATTCTTTTGTTGGCCACTTTTTGGGAAAATACAAACCAATAATGTAGAAGTACAGAAAAATACAAGAAAAGACCATTTTAAAATCTATGAAGAGCAAAATGACTGCTTAACACTATCGCATCGCCTACCGCCCAGTATAAAATAGGCCTATACCAGCCTTTATAGCTCATTAAAAAAATATTTTTCATTGTAAATTAAATAAACAACCAAACCTTAATTTCGGTCAGTCAGGTATGGCCAACACAATAATTTTTTCATTATTTGGCCTATTATACAGGGCTTAGGTAGGGAGATGTTTATTAGTTGTGAGAAAAAAAAAATCATGTGCTGTCACAGGCTTTGAACCTAGGACCCTGGGATTTAGAGGTAAGCAGCTTAACCAATAAACTATCTCCACTACATTAGTTTTTGAACTGTCAACCTAGCCAGTAGAATGATGGCAAAAAATTAGCATAGCGACTCCCAAACAAAAACAATGGTTAATTAATCAGTGGATGACTGAATGTTGACATGTCAGATGCACTTCAAAATTTCCAAAACTATCCATTTTTCATTTTGTTTACTCCAGCTGGGCATACAGTACACTTTTTACCCGCCAATTTGTAATGATCCTAGAAGATAAGAAAAAAAAAACTGCATTCTCACATGGCTTGACATGCCGAGCCATAATGAAGAAAATAGTCCCAATAAACAGAGATGGAATCATTGTCAAAAACACATTAAAACAGTCAACAATTACGTTGTATTTTTATCTTTTTTATCATAATGCCCTCCCAGTTTCTTTGGTTTGTCGGTTACGTCTGGATGAATTATTGATATGTGGGTGCATTCAACCCGAGTCAAGCTGAAAAGTGCACAAGAAACAACAGTTCTGCTACAATAGTATTTACTGTTTCATTACAAGAAGTAAATTGAAAAACACTTTAGTCTTACCACAATGGCGAAATGATTTTGGAAAAAGAACTTTTAAATATCATTCTGTTAAATTATGGAATAATCTCTCATCAGACCTTCATAGCAATATTCATTGTATTAATGTAGTTTAAGATAATACCCTGGACCTCAGGGAAGAACAGCGTAACAATACTGACTGAGTATCCAGAATAAAGAAAGATTTCTATTCTATTGTTATTTAATACTAAAGCTTCTATTTTAATACCAGAATTTTAAAAAAAAAGGCTTGCATGGCTGAAAATTAACTTCCAAACCATAGTGGCCAGCAGGGCCAGTAAGAAAAAATTGAAACTGGCCCTTCCACAGTTATGGTCCTATTTTTTTACGGTCTGAAATATAATTTTACCAAAAAAACAAAATCAATAAAATAGGCTCCCTATGCCCTATACTGCCTTCTGTATTATGTTTATTCATAAATTATCCACATGGAATTCGGTTATACGGAAATGTGTGGTGCTGTACTTTTGTACAGTAAGAAGGTGCTTTTTTTAAGAAAACACATGACCCATCATGCATCTTCACTGGATTTTTACACATTCCACCATCTTTAACTGCCAGATCATAACCAGCAAGATGACATTGGTTTAATAATTTGATATTATTAGATTATAATATACTACTACTGTAAGTAAACTGTACAATTAATTATACAGAGGTAATCTCAGAGGTCAAAGGTAAATGGTTTTGTAAGTCATAGAAACATCGTTGAAACCACCGTCTTTTCACATTTTTCATGTTTTTTCATGGAAAAAAAGATCATTATTATTTTGAGAGGGTTGCCAGGCGGACAATACCCAAGAAATGTTTTATCGCAATAGATGCTAATTTTAAGTTCAGGGCTTGTGCAAATCAGAATTCTATGTCACGATTTACAGCAATATATTGACAATAATTGCGAGCATACAAACATATGTTATTGGAACATAAATTGCTGTTGGTATTGCATACCAGATTAACTTCCAACAATGAACTATCCATGACATAATAAACAATCAGATTACATAATTTTACAGTGCCTAGTGTCCAAATAGTGTGAAACAGGATTCTTTACACAACACCAGAGCAGTGCAGGTCCTTTTGAAGTTACAAACCTATTCCTTCTTGAAACTGTCAAGTTTCTTCCTTCTCCAATAAAAGAAGTGAAATACAGTGAATTGCACTCCCTACAAACTATCAGTGTATTACTGTATGTAATTACTTTTAAATGGCTGTTAAAATTAGATTTGCATTAATGTATAACAACCAACTATTTGTAGAGCAGGGGTGGGCATTAAAGTTGGTCGGAGGACCAAAGTGAATTTTTGATTTAACACCAAAGGTCGTACCCAAATTTTGATGGTTCCAGTGTGTTTCCAAAAAACCTTCATGCACTGCTTTTATATAGTACCACTTTATTCTCAGTTTGAATATCACTTTACAGATGATTGGTGTCGGGTCGTCAAAAAACAAGGTGTTTTCTAGTAAAAGATAGACACCTAGGGCTTTTTAGGCCACAAAAAAATCATTGTCGGGCTGCATACAGACTCCAATTTGCCTACCTGTGCTGTAGAGTTTACTAAAATGAAATGCTCTGCATACATGTACTGTAGGTATACAGTAGCATCTGTACTAAATTTACAAAACAAATAATTTGAGTGAGCTCCACCCCAAGTCAATTCAGCACCAAATTCCATCCATTTTTATCCCATTGGTCTGAGTTGACAATAATATTTTACAAAAAAAAAATGTTTCTACACAGAATATTTTATGCAAATTGTCAACAGCATGCTGAACCCTGATGCATTATTTATGAGCCAAATTGATTAATAAACTGTTTCGTGGCTGATGTGAATGGGAAGCACATATTGGAGGAGGACGTGGAGTAAAGATGATATGACAATGCCAGCTATTGATTATTGCAAAATGAATTTCACTAATGGCTAGCTGCAGTATGCACTGTAACACAAAGATAGAAACAGGTACATCAGCACCAAAACTATATAGTGTACTTCAGTACAGCTGAACTAGAGAGCATTAAGCTCATTTTTACAGAAGAAATAAAACAACCTTCCATATAACAAAAAATAGGCTCCTGACAGGAGCATGCGTATACCAATATAGGTACCAGTTACCAACTCCCTGATAAAACTACATTCACACTGTACTTGCTTGTCAAATTAAAATGAACTGAAATGAACCTTAGCACATTCCATTTTACAGAAAAATTCCACTACCACGGCATAGAGCACTAATTCCACTACCACATCTGCCCAAGTGTAGTACTATACTCAAAAAATTTTATGAACAATATACTTTTACTAGATTATCACATGCTCATGTCTAGGCAAAACCTACCCTCTGAAAAACTGTGTTTCAATGTAAACACAATGAAAATCCAATTACTGTTTTCTATATGATCTTATTATAAAGGTTGGTTACAAAATGGTGTTGCTTTTTGCTCAATAGATATCAAAGTTCAATACATACTCTCCTTTAAAAATCTACACATGCTTAAGCATTCTTTTCTTGCTGCGAGCCATTGAATACTGTTGTCAAACTTTTATTCAAACATTCCACAAGATCTCAGTTTGCAGGCTTTGTGTACTATTCAGAGACTGAAGCAAACACGATACGTTCAGACAGATATTAGGCATGTAATATGCCGGCATGCACACATTGTTAACAACCAAATAATACTGTAAAAACACCTTTCTATATGAATGGATTATGTACTGTATATGCATGCTATTGGGTAGTGTTGTTTGTATAAAAAAAATTCTGTTCTATTTGCAAACTTTAGACTGAATAATGTAATATTGTGGGAATGAGGGCTGCACCGTAAGGGGAATATTGTG